TACCCAGCTGTGCCACTGTCATAGGAAAGCGGCCACAGGTAAGACATAAATGAGTGAGCACGCCTGCATGCCAATACAACTCTATCTGCAAAAACAGGCCAACCTGACCCAAACTGGAAACTGTAGGTGACACACTATTAGCGGTCAATGAAAGCAGCACAGCAAACCTGAATACAGAGATCAGGGCGTGTAGTTTCATACGCTGTGGTCAAAATGATGCTGTTCACACACAGTCTGCCTGGTGATTTCCCACTGTCCCCCCAGGCCAGACTGCAGGGTAAGATGCGTCTACGCTACCAGTCACCTCAGAAAGTAACAGCATAAGCAGGGACACTTCCCCACAAGATTTGCACCAAAGAAACACCAGTGTGAGGAAGACAACGTCTGCAGCCCCATTCAAGGCATTTTACTCAACATATCATCACAAAATTTTACTGAAGTAGCAACTCTCGGTCTTAAAAAATAAAATGCCCACACAGGAATCGTGGCAGCTGCGAACCAGCTGACAGGCCCCAGCCAAACTTAAGCCCAGTAACCACCTGGGCCTCTTCACCAAGGCCACTGAGCCCCACACCCACTGGACGACAGGGCGGGTGGCCTCGTGAGGCCCACTCTACCCCTAAGCTCACTTCCTCCAGGGCAGCGGCCACGCGTGTCCTCGAGGGCCTGTCCGGGGTGGTGAGAGCTCTACATACCGTTCTCAGTGACAGCCAGGGTTTGAGCGTCCCCACTCCCACATGCCACGTCGATGACCTTCAGTCCTTTAAGCCCAGCCACCAGCATTGGAATGGCCTCATCCTCACTGGAGCCTTCAAACAGATATGATTGCTGTTACAAAGTCCCTTAAGAAGCCACCTCTGCTGCGTGCTCCTCCTCGTGCAGAGCAGACCTACCGTGGCCAAGCCGGCCGTAGTTCCCGCGGCCCCAGGTGTACAGCTCCCCCTCAGCAGTGATGGCTGCGCTGTACGTGCTCCCGCAAGCAATGTGCACCACGTGCTTCCCAGCCTGCTTTCCAGAGAAGGCAGAGATCACCTTAGGCTCCTCCAGAGGCCTTGGGGAGGAAGGAAACAAACATGAATGCACTTCTTCTTGGTGGTATTTCCTATTAGTGTTAGAAAACGATATTCACTATCCAAAATAGACCATCACAGCATCAGGCCAGTTTCACCTTTCAGGTACCTTATAAAAGAATAAAGAGAGAATTCAAACACCTAACACCTCCATGACTTTTTGTTAAGTTGGAACCAAATGCAAAGGATGGTATCCAGCAGAAATATAAAAACGATGTCTCTTAAGGACTTGGACAACAGGCCAGGCACAGTGGCTCATGTCTGTAATCCCAGCATGTTGGCAGGCAGAGGGAGGCAGAGCACCTAAGGTCAGGAGTTTCAGACCAGCCTGGCTAACATGGTGAAAGCCCATTTCTACCAAAAATACAAAAAGTTAGCTGGGTATGGTGGCACGCACACGTAATCCCAGCTACTCAGGAGGCTGAGGCAGGAGAATCACTCGAACCCAGAGGCAGAGGTTGCAGTGAGCTGAGATCGTGCCACTGCACTCCAGCTCGTGCAACAAGAGCGAAACTCCCATCTCAAAAAAAAAAAAAAAATGAAGTACAATGAAGTCCATAGCAGTTTTATTCACAATGGCCCAAAACCATGGTCCATCTGCAACAGAAGGAATAAACTACCAATACACCCAACATGTCTGGATCTCAAGACATCATGCTAAATGAAAGAAGCCAGAAACAAAATACCATATGCTGTATGGCTTTGTTTATATTAAATTATGGAAAAGACAAAATAACAACAGCAGAGGTTGTCTGGACTGGAGGCAGGAAGCGGGGTCGACTCAAGGGCACAAAGAGGGCCCCGGAAGCAACAGGGCGCCCCGTGCCTTGACGGTGACAACTACCCAACTGCGTGCACTTGCCAAAACCCATCCAACTGTACATCTGAAACGCATTCATCCCGTTGCATGGAAACCTCATAAAGATGACATTTATATTTACTTGTTAAATGAATGTGGAGGGAATGAAGCCAGCATTTTGCAATCTATATTTTACAAATGAAAAATGTGAGGCAGTGGTGATTCGGCAGAAAATTTACTAACTGAAGAAATAGCAAAGTTAGCAAAATATCTTATTCTTATGATCCAGAATACGCTCCTATGATGGATGACATTTTCTTGAGAATCTGTAGAAGCCAGGCTGTTCCACAGACATGGTTTACTTACTTTGTGACCAACTAGTTTGCAAAATACACACACGTAGGGACACGGGCACACACAGGGACACGGGCGCACACAGGGACACGGGCGCACACAGGGACACGGGCGCACACAGGGACACGGGCGCACACAGGGACAGGGGGACACACAGGGACACGGGCACACACAAGGATGCCCAATGACTCTACTCCAGCACAGCCTCTCAGTTTCAGCTCCCCCAACAGGTTATCTCCAGATTCTGCATCTGCACTGATCTTTCTTCCTACACTCAAGTCCTAGAATAAGAGGTAAGTTACTGATACTAGCACTTACTCTCCACTGAGAATTGTTTTACTATGAAACATTTTATAAAAAGTTAGTTATAAATTCCATAAAGGAAGTAAACAGACTTACCACCCTGTCCTATACCTTGACGCCTTTCAAGTCCCATGTGGCCCATGTCAATCCCAGCCCTTAAGATCTAGTCAGAGAGTAACAGCTATAAATTACATGGAGATGAATGTTTTTCACTAGTTTTACAACACTTGTCTGAATCCCTTACAACACTGTGGGAGTTGGGCTGTTCTGAGCTTGGCATATATGTACCACACGACACGCATCACTCTGCTTTTCTCCCGGTTTGGGATCTTCCCAGCGGATGCTGTTGGCAGTGATGCCCTCGACTACACCCCGTAGTGTGCGTGGGCCGTGCCCTCCAGGCTCCTCTCAAGGGACACAAGCGCAGTCACAACTATGCTCATTTCAAGCTCTGCACTGCCCGCTCCCTGCTCAGAGCTCCCGCCCGCGTAAAATAGGCTTGCTGGGTTGGTGTGGACATACATCCTTCCTTTAAACCTAATACCAAAGTTCCACGTACAACAGCAAAGTACAAGACAGTTCCCATCACTCCGTGGAGGCTGTAAGGCCTCCCAATTTTTACCACCTGGCATTTATAACAACTTTCTGTTTTATTTCTGTTCTTTCACAATAAAAGGTTTCACCAAATAGGATAATATTAGGAAGAAACTACTCATTTCTTTTCCTGTAAAAATAATATTATGGTTCAAGGGAAGGGTGACAACTTATCTATGGTAGACAGGGTGAAATGTTTGTGAATGAAGGAACAGTAGTGTAGCCTTTGTTTTAGCACACTCCACAGTGGGATGCAGTTTGAGGAGATAAAAAGCTGGCCACGGCTGCAGAGGGTGGACAAGAACAGAAGGGCCCACCCCCGTAGCTCTCCACGCACAGGCAAAGCGCCCAAGCCATCACCAATGAGGGGGCGTATCCTGGTGTCCTGCTCCTCCCCAGCACTACGTGTCAGGGCAGCTGGAAAACACTTGCACACACTTCTGTGTTCCACCCTGTTTAGGATATGGCAACATAAAAGGAGAGTGTGTCCCCTACAGGAATGAAGCTCACATACACAGTGTCCCCGTGGCCCAGCCGTCCGCCATCCCCACAGCCCCAGGAATACACCTCTCCAGTGGCAGCCAAGGCTAGGTAGTGGTGGCCATCAGAATGGGCAGCAATCTTTACAATGTTTCTGGAGGCAAGGCCCTGGACCAGCTGCGGGGCCTAAAACAGGTAAAACAGGAAGAAAGGTAGACATCAGTCCGAGGATAATGAAAACCGTACAGCTCTCCTTTATCATGTATCCCTGGGCAAAGCCTGCCCTAACTGGAAGTGAGGCATAAGCCTCTGGCGGCCACAGGGCCAGCTCTCCAGAGCTTCCCACCCAGCACCAAGAGAACAGGGGGAGGGCTCCACGTGCTCTGTGGCAAGACCGGTGTGGATCCAGGGGCAGTGCAGGCTAGCCCTGGGTGACAGAAGCCTGCGGCAACAGAGAGGAATGCTTTTCTGCTTTAACAAAAACATGCCACGTCCCAATTTGCCACTATCCCCATGAGGCCCAACTCCCTCATTTGTCACCTGCCTGGCCCCAAAGTCAAATGAGTTTACACGTGGAAAACCAGTTCACAAATGGGAATCTCATGATTAGCAATGAGTTTCACTATAAGGACTTCCTAATCTTCACAACCCAAAGCTTGACAATAATATTACAATTGAGATCATTAAACATAATATACAATAAACAGCAGCTTATCAATATTCAGAAATCAAATGGCTTACAGAAAGACCGGACCCTGTGCATTTGTAGTACAGAGCTCGCCCCCCAAGGGAACAGTGCAGGTACAGTGCCCAGAACACGCACCAGTGTGTCACTGTTGTAGGCCTGTGTGTACACGCGGCCGTTGCGTGACAGAATCAGGAAGCGCTTCTCTGCACAGGCAATCTGTGTGACTCCCAGGTTGGCCAGGCCTTCACACTGGATCGGACCAATCACATTGGCATAGTATTTCCAACCTATTAACCCCCAACCTATGACCTCTTGCAACGATCCCTGTAAGATAAAAAAGTAAACATTTTCTTTTACAACAGCAAAAAAAGAAAAAAACAAAAATGGCTGGGAGTAACACTGAGATATTATAAGCTAAAAACAAAGCAAATAAAGAGAAAATATGCTGATTCAAAATGTCAAAATAGCTCATAGCATGCCATATTACCTCATTTAACCAGTATGATGTAACAACGGGGCAGGTTATTTTTCCATTTCCACTGCATTTCATTTTAACAGAGCCCATTAGAAAGTAGTATAAGTGGCCCTTAAATACTAATATATTTTTAAATGCTCAAATTATTTTGTGCCTTAGCAGGCAAAATCCCAAAAGCCCATGCACAAGGCTGGGAGGCCAGCATCCCTCCTGGTGGTGAGAGAAATCAAGTCGCACAGGAGCAATCTGGTGACAAGCAGCCCGCACTGGACACATTCCCACCTGTGCACGTGCACAGACACACACGTGTGCACACAAGGAAGACACATGTACGAGGTCAGGCCCTGCAGCCCTATTTGTATAGAAATACTGTGGCAATAAGCCAAGCGTCCACCAATAAGAGACTCACCACATAAAAGACATATCCACACACTGAATACTAAGGTGCTTTATAAAAACAAAGAGCAATGCTCTCATAAAGTACTCCAGGTAAATATGGTTAGTGAAAAAAACAAGCAACACAAGTAATGCAACATGCTACCACTAGCATACTCACTCCAGAGAATAAGGAGGCTGCAGATGAGACTAAAAAGTGAGGAGGAGCAGGTGGGAAACTGGGTGGACATGGTGGGCAGGGGAAGCAACAGTGTGTCTCTGCCTAGTTTTGATTTTTGAACCATGTGACTGTATTACTTTTTTTTAATGACTATAAAACAAAATACTCTTCATATCAGCAATAAAATGTTAAGAGAAATCTGAGTTGAAAACGAGGATGACTGTTATACCCTGGCAAAGCTCACTACTATTTCCAACTGCAGTTTTCTCAGCGACATAATGAGCTACAAAGGCATGCTGAGATCCTCAGCGAGCGTGCACCTCACTGGTGCTCCACACAGACCATTACTATCACAGAACAGACACGATATATAATTACACTGTCACTGCTATACGCAGCATTACATACTAAGGCAGCCCGTGTTCAGACTAGAAAGAAGGCTGTGGAAGCCCCTGCGGAAGGTGGGTGGGCCTGGGGCTATGTGGATCAAGGGGAGCTCTCTCCGGCTGTGCCAGCTGAACCTGGAAACCTGTGCCCCCAGGGTGGGTCCCCAGGCCTGTGCACCTCAGCCTGCTCATCACTCACTCTCAACATTGGTAACACCTTCCATGTTTGCATATATTTGCATATATTACGGTAACATAATTAGCCTTTAACCACTCTTTATGTTTTGGTCATCAAATGACAATGTTGATGATAGAGTTAAACAATACATCTATATATTTATGCAGCATGTAAGCTGTATAAATGTTTAAATTTGCTGACAAGGAAGTCAGTACTCACTGACCTGAGTCTCCTCCACAAACGAGTGACCCCCCACACTTGTCTCATCCGACTCGCTGATGTTACCACCAAATGTGTCTGCAACGTTTAAAAAACACAAGCCAGCTCCCCGACCAATACCAGAAAACGCGAGTCTCCACAGGGGCCCAGGATGAGAACCCGGCGGCGGCCCTAGCTGCAAAACACGCAGAACACTGTTCTTGCACACACCTTATGGGACGCCGGAGAGCTGCACAGCGGAGGCATACAGGGCGTGGCTAGGCGGTCTAAATGGGCCATGACAACAACCGCTGTTTGCCGCAGATCAATGGCAAGCTCGTTGTCTTGCGGAAGGGTGAGGTACCTCAGGAAACTCTCATTGGGGCTCAGAGGGCCAGACAAAAGCTAGAAAGGAAAAGTAAACAAACTTTCAGAAATGGTGGGGAAATTTAAAGTAACATAGTCAGCCTTCAACCACTCTTTATATTTTGTTATTTACGCATTTGGTCATCAAATGACAATGCTGATGATGCAGGTATACTATACACCTACATATTTATGCAGCATATAAACTGTGTAAGTGTATACATTAGCTGTATAAATGTACACAACATGGACTATGCATGCAAACATTTATGACACCACAGGTAAGCTGAATCCACACAAATTACTAACACAGCCAAACCACCCTACAGGCCTAAGACTCCTGGAGAAAGGCAGAACCAGCTCTGTGGGAACCCAGCACAGCATCTCAAAATGGTCTTGAAATCTAAAGCAAAAACCTTTATTTTAATCTAAATGTTGCTCACTCTGGAGAACACCTACTTTCACTTGCCTATTAAATCACAGTTCTAAATCTTCTAAAGGCAAAAGAGCCCTATTATCATTAAAGACCGTCAAATAATAGAAAAATTAAATCAAAGCATGATATTGGAATGACAAAGACCTTCCCGAAAAGACTGGCAAAATCCAACTTGTACTTGACTTGTAAAGACCAGCAGTCCTGGAGGTTTACGCCCAGGGCCCTGCACACCTGCTCCTCCCCCAGCTCGGCGTCCACATCTGTTGAGGAGTTGGTACTAAACACAGTCACAGCTCAGGTGACTGCCCTGCACAGAGCCCAGCACATAGGAATGGTCAACAAAGCAGGCCACTATTTTCCTTGTTCTTTTCTGGTATGTACTTAGAAGTGCATGTTTCAGGCTTGGTTCCATGCTGACAAGAAAATCAGTACTCACTGAACTGAGTCTTCTCCACAAACAAGTGACCTCCCACACTTGTCTCATCTGACTCCCTGATGTGACCAAACATACACATGCCAGAGAACACACTGCCACAGACACGCTGATCTTGCTTTAAAAATAACCAGAATCGAGTGCCACCTAAACACCAAGCTCCACACGGTACTCACGCGCATGTCTCCCTCGGAGTGAGGCGTGTCCTTACTGCAGATGATGCTCTGGAACCTTTGCAGCAAGGGCAAAAGTGGGGCGCTGGTGCCCTGGGCGGAGCGCTCGTTGTCAGTCTCCTGTGCCCCACTGTCCCACAGCTGAAGTAACAACAGGATGGCAGACAGCATTTGGCTAAAGGAGAAAAGATATTTATTCCTAGTAAAAATGTCATGGTTGATCAAAAATAAAAGCAAACAGCTCAACAGAAGTGAAGAAATATTTGGTATATGAAAGGAAACCCAAGTAAAGCCGTGGTAATTAAATCACTGAATCGACACCAAGATGTCAGCCCAAGATATCTGCCTTCTGTTGATGGGAAAGACCAGTCAAGAAGCTTGGCACATTTACACCAAAGTTCTAGGATCTTAAATTCATGGGATAAAAATAATTAAATGAGGAAAACTAAAAAGAAAAAAAAATAAAAAGAACAGTTCCCAGGCTAGAAAACCGAGCATGAAAAAGGAAGTGAAGAAGACGTCAAGAGCGAGGGAGCTCTAGGACATGGTTCTCTGGCTACGGAGTGCCACACACATCGCTGTAGTCAGAAACGATTCGGTGAAATGCCACACAATGCAACAGGCATTTGGATACAGACGTGCTTCCCCAAAGTGCTCCCCATCTGCGGCAGCCCTCACCTCAACGTGCCTCTCTGCACAGCCAGCTCGAGCAGGATGGCCAGGGCCAAGTGCTGGTCCTGCAGGGGGATACTTCCTGGCCCTTTGGTACCTGGTGTTCCGTGAACATCCCTGAAATGAAAGCAGTGGATGCAGGAATAAAGCAACCTCAAGAGAAACAGCAAGCTTACAATAACACCAACATATTCACTACATGCTCCCTCCCAAGGAAGGATATATTTTCAATATTTAGAATCAAGTTTCTGAGACTTGCCACTCAAGTTCGGAGATTTTAAAGTGTGCAATTAGCTTACAAAAATATATTTTAAGTATTCATTCAGATACATTACAGTAGATGACATACTCCAAGACTGTGAAGCATGTCTTCTCATGTATGAGAAGAATATCTAGATATGGTTTCCAGTTTCGATTACGTGTAAGACTATAACAGTATCAACATTCTCCTGTAGAATCAGAGAACCGATTTCTAAAACCACCTGAGAATCTGGAGACAACACGTCTACACTAATTTTTATCTCGGATCAAAGATATACTTTTAACTTTTCTATGTTAGTCAATAATAAATTTTTTTAAATTCTATCCCAAGACTTCAGAGAAAGGACCTTATGGCAGCAACATTATAGCTGAATTTTAAAAATCAACTCCAAGCCTATTTTCAGGGCCTCCAGAATTAAAACTCTGTGGTGATGCCTTCACCAGCAGGCCCAGGAAGTGGACTCCCCGCCGGGGACAGAAACGCCAAAGGCATCCTGCCTGCTGGAAGAAGGCACAGTGCTGACCTCTGTCAAGGAGAGTGAGGAGTGGACTCATTTTTCCTCTACATCTGTCCTTCCTGTTGAATTTTATATTTTCTTTAAATTTAAAAACCTTAAAATGCACAGCACTTGAGCTGGGCACGGTGGCGCATGCCTGTAATCCTAGCACTTAGGGAGGCTGAGGTGGGTGGATCACCTAAGGCCAGGAGATCAACACCAGCCTGGCCATCATGGTGAAATCCCACCTTTAATAAATAAATAAATAAGAAAAAAACAACAACAAAAAAAATACACAGCACTCCAGACCAGAGTTCATGTTTTTCCTTACACACAAATGTTTCATATTCAAACTTTTTACACTAAAAAGACCAGCCACAGGACGAAGCAATTTGATCTTGAACAGGTGTTTACTCCCACATTATCTGTAAGACTTCAAGCACCACTCTACACTCAAACAGCGGCTCCTTATCATCACAGAGAGACACAAATGTAAGTGCTCAACCCTCTGCGAATTACTGACGGCCAAATCTCTAAGCATCGTCCCCTGTCTGTCTCACTTAGTATCATAGCTTCCTGATTCCAGTCAGAGAATCTGAAATCAGATCACCTGAAAACCTCAGACCAGACCTGGAATCACAGCACTGATGGCCTGCTGAAAACACAGGTGAGAAACCAACCTCCTACACTTCTGAGCTCTAAAATGAGGACACTAAGAACTAGCCTCAAGCGGGTTGGCCGTCTGCATCCAGAAGGCAAGAAAAAAGAGAACTCACCCAGTCACGACGGACCTGAGGAACCTGGTCGCTCTCTCCACCACCTCCAGCCACACAGAGGACACAGTGCTCTCGTCAAAGAGTGAGGCCTCAGGAAGCGCTCGCAGGGCGTCCAAGGACTCCTGCAACAGCTCACTGCAGAGGTCCGCATCCTCGCCTGGGTGCACACACGCGTCAGAGGAGCCCACCCACTCCCCTCACTCTCCCACTGGGCTTCCCACCCCTCGGCGAGAGAAGACGCCACTGTCACCTTTCCAATCCCTCACTCAACAGCCCAGAATCTAGCATAGCTGTTCCAGTCAATTCTGTATCTCATGGCTGTCCCATGAGCAATACACTAACTTCCTGTTCTTCTAGAATTAAATCCATACTGGGGTCGTCCATGGTAGTGGTTTACGTGGGGTGGGGGTGCATGCACTCATTTTTTTTTCTTTAAAGCACAGACATGAAAGCCAAACAGCCTCTGCAGCCTCTCATCTCACAAGCAAGGAAAATGAGGCACAGAGAGCACATGGGAGCTTGAAACCCCGTCTGCTGATGTGTTAGGGAAGCAGACCAACACGCCACTCCAGGGACCGTACCTGATCGCCAGGCCCTGCGCAGGAAGGCGAAGGCGAAAGACAGCGCTGCTCGGGATCCCACTCTGGCGAGCCCCTCCACGCCTTTGCCCGCAGGCCGGCAACTGCAGGCGACACACACAGCACACAACCCGTCAGCCCGCGGAGGGCGCAGATGGTACACAAAATCAATACTACACAAGGATGTAAACCAAAACATGAGCAATGGTTTTCTTTAAGTGACAGGATGACAAGCTGATTTTTAGTTTCATTGTTTAAAAACTTTCATCAAATGTCTTTTGCAAAACAAAAGGTTTCAGTTTAAGAATATAAGAAATTTACAAGGAATTATAAATGTCTTGGAAAAATGCTCACGAAATGACCTCACAAAGTGAGCTTCTAGTGGGAGGAAGCAGACGATAAGCAGATGAATACATAAACGGACGGAAAATAAACCCCAGGTGGGAGACCAGGAGGGAGAGGAGATGGAGGAAGAGCAGCAGAGCCCACGGGGTAGCCTGGTGCGCCCCAGCTCCGGCGTCCTCCGGCTCAGGGTCTGTTCCTGGCTGTGGGTGAGGCCCTGCATCCTTGACCCATCCCGTGAGGAGTCGCCCTCTTTTGAGGGTACTGCTCATCACCCTCCTGTGTCTTTTTAAGCTTTTCACTACTTGCTTATCTTAAGTTCACAAGTCACAGTTTTGTTCCAAGTAATGTTTAAAGGTTATACAAATGGTGCACCATAAAAATCATCCTGTACAAGAAAAGGCTAGAATACAAAAATGAATATATAATCATGCACAGCAAGTAACTGTATTTCATACTTTATAATATATTTCTAAAAAAAAAATACATATATATATATACATATATATATATATATTATAGTATTGCGACTATATACTCTCCAAATTTACTAAAATTTGCTTTCATGATCAGGGGAAATGCTATAAAAACATTTGAAACAGAGTTCAAGACCAGCCTGGCCAAGAAACCCTGTCTCCACTAAAAATACAAAACGTGGCTATGCGTAGTGGCTCACACCTGTAATCTCAGCAATCTGGGAGGCCACGGAGGTCAGGAGTTCGAGAACAGCCTGTCCAATATGGTGAAACCCCATCTCTACTAAGAAATACAAAAATTAGCTGGGCATAGTGGTGCGTGCCTGTAGTCCCAGCTACTCAGGAAGCTGAGGCAAGACAATCACTTGAACCCAGGACGGAGAGGTTGCAGTGAGACAAGATCGTGCCACTGCACTTCAGCCTGGGTGACAGAGTGAGACTCCATCTCAAAAAAAAAAATACACACACACACACACACACACACACACACACACACACCCCAGCTGGGTGTGGTGGTGGCACACCTGCAATCCCAGCTACTCAGAGGCTGAGGTAGGAGAATTGCCTGAACCTGGGAGGTGGAGGTTGCAGTGAGCTGAGATCACACCACTGCACTCCAGCCTGGGTGACAGAGTGAGACTCCCTCTCAAAGAAAAAAAAAAAAATTTAGGAACTATCACTACACATTCATCAGATTGACTAAAGTTAAAAAGTGGCAATACAAAATACTGATGAAGATAGAGAAAACCTGAATCACTCATACATGGCAGGTGAGAATGTAAAATGGTACCGTAACTCTGAAAAGAAAGCTACAGCAATTTCCTTTTTTTTTGAGACAGAGTCTTGCTCTGTCACCCAGGCTGGAGTGCAGTGATGCAATCTGGGCTCACTACAACCTCCGCCTCCCGGGCTGAAGCAAGTCTCCTGCGTCAGCCTCCCAAGTAGCTGGGATTACAGGCACCCGCCACCATGCCCTGCTAAGTTTTTGCAAAGACAGGGTTTCCCCATGTTGGTCAGGCTGGTCTCGATCTCATGTGATCCACCCACCTCGCCCTCCCAAAGTAATGGAATTACAGGTGTGAGCCACCGTACCTGGCCAGAAATTTCTTTTGTTAGTGTCCTTTACATTTATGTATAGACCTAATCATAAGGCTCAGTAATTGCACTCATGGGCATGAATACCAGGGAAATAAAATTTACATTCACATAAAAATCTATATGTAAATATTCGTAGTAGCTTTATTTGTAATACCCCAAAACTAGAAAAAACTGAGGTCTGTTTTGGTGCATCCAACCCATGGAATACTACTCAGTCTGGGCACAGTGGCTCACTCCTGTAATCCCAGCACTTAGGAACGCCGAGGTGAGTGGATCACTTTAGGTCAGGAGTTTGAGACCAGCCTGGCCAACATATCAAAACCCCATCTCTACTAAAAATAAAAAAATTAGCCAGACGTGGTGGTACATGCCTACAGTCCCAGCTACTTGGGAGGCTGAGGCAGGAGAATTGCTTGAACCTGGGAGGCGGAGGGTGCAGTGACCCGAGATCACACCACTACACTCCAGCCTGGCATGGGTGACAAAGCAAGACACTGTCTCAAAAGAAAAAAAAAAAAACTATTCAGCAATGATACATGCAATGACCCCTTGGGAAAATCTCAAGGGAATTATGCTGAGTGAACAAAGTCAATTATGCTTCAGGTCAGGAGTTCAAGACAAGCCTGGAAAACACAGCAAGACCCTAGTCTCTACAAATACAATTAATGAGGTGTGGTGTCGTGCATCTGTGTTCCCAGCTACTCAGGAAGCTGAAGGAGGAGGACTGCTTGAGCCCAGGAGTTTGAGGCTGCAGCGAGTTCTGGTTACATCACTGCACACCAGCCTGGGCATCAGGGTGAGACCCTGTCTCCAAAAATTACAATAGTAACAATAATAAAAATTAAAAAGCCAATGTCAAAAAATCATGTCATAGACACGGATAACAGAAGAGTGGCTGCCAGCAGTGAAGGTGGAGAGAGGACGTGAACGTGGGCGTAAAGGGCTCTTGTTCATGTGCCCGGACTGCAGCAGTGGTCTCAGCAAATCCAAGCGTGAGAAACTGGAAAGCAATACACACTTTATTAAGAGCATGTAGAGCTGGGGAAACTTGAATGAGACAGGCACACTATCAAAGTCAACACGTAGTTGTGACGACTGTGTCCTAGTTTGCAACCAGCCATCACTGAGGGCAGCAGGACGAACAGTAAAAGAATCGCTACAGCATTTCTTACACCTATATGTGAATCCACAGTTATCTCAAAAAAACGGTTGGTTTTTTTCTTATTTTAGGAATTCTTCCACTGAGTGAAAAATATATTCTAATTAATCCATCAACCCCATGTCATCACAAAGGAAACTGCACAGAGAAATATCAGCTGGGCTCTTAGCCAGTTCTGCAGCTGAGGGGATTCAGTTTGATTCAACAAACACACAACAGTTCTTGGAGAATCTTAGCACCTACCACCCACCCATACATAACACTCTGACTCATGACCATCACAGCTGGTCAGGAAGGAAAGAGAGAACCACGTACTGCTACTACCAAATGGGTAGGAATCTCATCTGTCACTTGGTTTCATTTACTCTAAAACTATTTTTAAAAATACGACATGTATAATAGTCCCTTGGTATCTACAAGAGATTAGTGCTGGGCCTGCCCCACCCTGGCTCCATACCAAAACCCTAGGATGCTCAAGACCCTGGTACAAAATGTTATGGTATCTGCATATAACCTATGCACGCTCTCACTATGCTTTAAATCATCTCAGCCAGGCGCAGTGGCTCACAGCTATAATCCCAGCACTTTGGGAGGCTGAGGTGGGAGGTTCATTGGAGCCTAGGAGTTCAAGACCAGCCCAGGCAACACGGCAAAACCCCATCTATACAAATTATTTTTTTAATGGCCAGGTGTGGTGGCTCATGCTTGTAATCCCAGCACTTTGGGAGGCCAAGGCAGGCAGATCACTTGCGGCCAGGAGTTCGAGACCAGCCTGGACAACACAGTGAGACCCAAACTCTACAAAAAATACAAAAATTAGCTAGTAATCCAAGCTACTTGGGAGAGTAACTTGAGCCCAAGAGGTCAAGGCCGCAGTGAGCCATGATAGGCCCAGTACACTCCAGCCTGGGAAACAGTGAAATCCCTGTGTCAAAACAAACAAAAAAAATCTCTAGATGACCGTAACACCTAATACAAGGTGAACCCTCTGTAATTAGTTGTTATACTGTATTGGTTTTTTTGCTTTTTTTTTTTTTTTTTTTTGTAGTGCTGTTTTTTATTGCTTTTCTTCCATTATTTTTGATCCACAGTTGGTTGAATCTGTGGACATGAAACCCACAGATACAGAGAGCCAAGTATAACGTGATTTCAAGTATCTTTAACCATAAGGAAACAAAAAAGGAAAACAGATAAAAAATAAAAACATAAGGAAACTGGCTACAAGCAGCACTCCTATCTCGGGAGAGCAAGAGGACTGCGGTTCTGCACCTGCTTCTTTCTGCCTCCTGTGTGTTCTAGGTGCTCTCCAGGGAGTCATCATCACTACGACAGTCAAATAAAGCCAACACTTAACTACACGAAATTTAAGTTCCATCTGGAAATCTTGTAGTTTAACCTACTGAGGACAAAAGTCTGACAGACAGCTTCATTTTGGAAAAGCACAATTTTACACAAGCCTTAAACATTCTAGTGGCTCTGAGCAAAGAGAGGAAATTTGTGATATATTAAATACGCATCATCAAATTAAAACTCATATGCCCAAAAGCATCTCTTGCAGTAAAAGAATAAGAAAATCACATTAGGAAAGAAAAACGTGAAGCATCTAAACCAGTCAGACATTAAATGTTACAATGTATCTTCTACCCAGGAGCAAGGCAAAATAAAAAGTATACAATGTTCAGAACTCATTTTCAGATTTATACTTGAGCTGATCTAAAGCTCTGGCTGGCTTCCACAGTTACTGACATAAAAAAAAAAAAAAGGTCTTTAATGATACAGAGCCAGGCACAGTATCTCCTGCCTACAATTCCAGTACCCCAAGAGGTGGAAGCAGGAAGACTGCTTGAGGCCAGGAGCAAGAACCCTCTACACCTACACCTACACACACATACACACACACACACACACACACACACACACACACACTTTTAATTAGCTAGGCATGGTGGCATGTGACTGTAGTCTCAGCTACTCAGGTGGTTGAGGTGGGAGGATCACTAGAGCCCCAGAGTTCAAGGTTATAGTGAGGTATAATTACAGCACTGCACCCCAGCCTGGGTGACAAAGCAAAACTCTGTCTCTCAAAAAGGAAAAAAAGAAAAAAAAATTAAGTGAATAAAATAATGACACAGATTACATAGTATGGTCTGTTACTATATAAGCAAATTGGCAAATCCATTCTCCAGATTATACAAAACACACAAAAAGGGAAAACAAGAACAAATTTCAGAAGGTGAAGACAGACGCTATATTGAAAACCTTAATTAAACCTTCTGAAACAAAATAGTCTGAATTTTATATTTAGCTGGCATCAGGATTCTATCTTCCCTTTATTATTACCTTTTTTTGTCCACAGGAGGCAGAGAAATGCTGCTGCTTTTCCACTTAACTTTGACATTCTCCTGAAAAACGGTTCTATTCAAGGCAATGAAATAGCGCTCCAAGATCACCAGCCTCTGCTTAAGTCGCAGGGCTGAGAGGGTGGTTGTAGCTGACTGGACGGCCAGGGCCTGCTGCTCTTTTACCAGCACAGAAAGGCACTCCTTTAGTTCATTCACATCTATAAAACAAGACAAGAAAACACCTCACCTGTGGACAATGCGGTCAGTTTGTTGTACTGCTGAGAAAATGAATGATGATGACAGGTGGTACTCGAATCCATGACTTGTGGCAAAAACGGCTTTAACCAGTTTACACATTTAAGCTCAGGCAATCTTCACACTGAGCACTGTTGAGCCGTATTGTACATCCATTTTATGGATGAAGAAACTGAGGGACTGAGTGGTGAAGCACCGTGTCGGAGGCCACACAGAGGAGTGCAGCACATGACAGAGACCCCTCTGAGCCACACTGCCTCTCCAGCAATACCACGTGCAATCTGTGGGCCAGGCATGGTGGCTCACGCCTGTAATTCCAGCACTTTGGGCCAAGCTGGGTATATTACGTGAGGTCAGGAATTCAAGACCAGCCTGGCCAACATGGCAAAACCCCATCTCTACTAAAAAAAATACAAAAATTAGCAGGGTGTGGTGGTGCACACCTGTAATTCCAGTTACCCAGGAGGCTGATGCACAAGAATTGCTTGAACCCAGGAGGCAGAGGTTGCAGTGAGCCGAGGTTATGCCACTGCACTCCAACCTGGGTGACAGAATAAGACTCTGTCTCCCAAAAAAAAAGTTACTAACACAGAACACTGAAGTCAATATTAGTCAATATGTATCAGGAGCACATCTCCTAAACAGAGAAAAACACTAGCCATTATTTTCAAGTTGCAAACCCAAATTCAAAATAAAAACAATGTCTTGATATAATTACCCAGCATGCATGACTCATGAAACAAATTTATGGACATATTTTAGAGGATGATAAAGTAACCAATACACATTCTAACTACTAAGTGATATTTCATTATATTATTCTATTTCTATCTCTGTTTGAAAATTTCTGCCAGGCTGGCTGGTGGCTCACACCTGTAATCCCAGCACTTTGGGAGGCTGAGGCAGGTAGATCACAAGGTGAGGAGATTTAGACCATCCTGGCCAACATGGTGAAACCCCATCTCTACTAAAATACAGAAAATTAGCTGGGCAAGGTGGCACATGCCTGTAGTCCCAGCTCCTCAGGAGGCTGAGGCAGAGGAATCGCTTAAACTCGGGAGGCGGAGGTTGCAGTGAGCCGAGATCAAGCCACTGCACTCCATCCTGACGACATATCAAGACTTCATCTCAAAAAAAAAAAAAAAGAAAAGAAAAAGAAAATTTCCATACTAAGAAGTGTTTTTTAAGTAGCTAGAAGGCAATCAGATGAGTGAAAATAATTCAAAGGATTCTGGTCTTTCAATTAAGCATATGTCTATCTCAGAGTACAGTTCATTATCGCTGAATCATAAGTTACCTCCCACCAACCCCTGTAAGAGCACAGCTCCCAGTGGTGGGGTGAGGGCTGGGCTCTGCCGTGCTTGCTTCTCTGATGCTTACTAGCCTGGAGACCAGCAAGCATCAGCCTCGCAGCCCTGGACCCTGACAGGTAATATCAACACCCCTGCGGGCTGCCTGCCCTTAGGTAGAAAACATCAGTTTCTGGCTACCCATTACCTGGATATGCTCTCCATGGGATGGGAGGACAATCTCATCACTCCCTGGAAAGGCACAGCATGGCACACCGCACCCGGCACCAGCAGTAAGATGTGAGACCTGGAGCTTTGCAGCTGAAAGCTAGTAGTTACGTAAAACTCAATTAAGAACACTGAATTGCACACTGGGCTCAAGATGGAGAAGTGAAAGATTTATAGGTAAAGCAGCGCCCCTGCCTTCTCAGGGCACCCCCGCCAAACCACCCTTCAGGCAAGGAGGCTGGCCCGGCACTGAGAAACACCTAACCCCTTAAAAGACAAGAGCACCTTCACAGAGACAGCTCTCTCAAGCACGCAGCCCTCAGAGGAATTTCGTCCAGAAATCAGGTCTAAGGAAAATCTTTAGCCTTCCTGAAGTCACTGTGTTTTCCACTTTTAAATAATACATCTTCCTTCTGCTTGGCTGCGGAGCCTGGAAACAAGCTCAAAGCTCCAAGAGGGCAGCTATGCCCTTGAGCACCCACATGCCCCTCTCCCTGACATCCTCCTGCTTATTCCCTCCAATCTTGACTGCCCAGTCCATCAGTCAGGTATACTTTAAAACTAGTGAGTGAGAAAATAAACAAACCATGGACACCACTGGGGAGGCAACTCCTACCCCTGCCTCACAGGAACCAGGGGCCTGAGGCAAAGTGGGAGGTCTAGACTTCGACTCAAGCCAGCAGTGATGAGGCGAAGCACGCCCTATCCCTGCCAGAGCAGGGTCACGGAAAGATTTAATCACTTACACAGAAGATTTAAGTAAGACCTAGAGTTGCCTGACATAACATATTCTACTGAGAAAGTCACTTATCATACCAAGAACCAGGAAGATCTAAAACCAAATTTTAAAAAATAATCAATTATAGGCCGGACACAGTGGCTAACGCCTGCCATCCCAGCAGTTTGGGAGGCCGATGTACGCAGATCACGCTGCAAGAACGTAAAACAGTGTAGCCATTGTGGCACACAGTTCACTGGTTCCTCAAAAAGTCACGTCTATACCGGCACAGTGGGGAAAATTAAAAATTAAAAAATAAAATAAAAAGTCACATCTAGTGCCAGGTGCGGTGGCTCACACCTGTAATCTCAGCAACTCAGGAGTCTGAGGCAGGTAGACTGCTTGAAGCCAGGAGTGTAAGGCCAGCCTGGACAACACAGCAAGAATCTGTCTCTAAAAAATTTTCTTTAATTAGTCAAGCATGGTGTCATGTACCTACAGTCCTAGCTCCTTGGGAGGCTGAGGCAAGATGATCACTTGAGCCCAGGAGCTCAAGGCTGCAGTGAGCTATGACTATATCACTGCATTCCAGCCTGGGCTACACAGTGAGGCCCAGTCTTAAAAATAATAATAAAAAGTAAGTTAAACATAAAACTACCACATTATTAACCAATTCCACTCCTAGGTATAGACACAAAGCATTATAAGCAGAGACTCAACACACTTGCAAGCCAATACTCATAGCAGCATTACTCACAACAGTCAAGAGGTGAAAGAATCCTGAGTGCCCACTGATTAATGGACAAAACGTGGCATAGATATAATGGACTACTATTTAGCCTTTAAGATAAAGACAATTTTGACACATGCAGATGAACCCCAAAGACCTAAGAAGTTCAATAAGTCAGTCATAAAAGGACAAATATTATATGATTCCCCTTATAGGAGATACCTTGAGTAGTCAAATTCCGAGACAAAAGCAGAAAGGTGGCTGCTTGCGGGCAGCAAGGAGTTAGTGTTTCACAGATACAGAGTTTTAGTCAGAGAAAATGAAACGTTCTAGAGATGGATGGAGATGAGGGGTGGGCAACAATGTGAATGTACTTCATGCCACTGAGCTGTACACTTAAAAATGGTTAAAACAGTAAAATCAGGGTATTTTTGGTTTTTTAGTTTTGTTTTGTTTTGTTTTGTTTGAGATGGAGTCTTGCTCTGTCGCCCAGGCTGGAGTGCAGTGGCATGATCTAGGCTCACTGCAACACTGCAACATCTGCTTCCCAGGTTCCAACGATTCTCCTGCCTCAGCCTACAGGCGTCCACCACCATGCCCAGCTAATTTTTGTATTTTTAGTACAGACGGGCTTTCACCATATGGGCCAGGCTGGTCTCGAACTCGTGACCTTGTGATCCACCTGCCTCAGCCTCCCAAAGTGCTGGGATTACAGGCGTGAGCCACCGCGCCCGGCCAAAACAGTAAGTTTTATGGTACGTATAATTATATCACAATATTTAAAATTTTTTAATTATACATTTTTTAAATTGTTACCAAAAAAATACGAATAATCCATCCAAGTTATTTAGAAAAGGAGTGTCAGATCAAGCTTTCGAAATTGCCAAAACTCAGAAGATTACCTGGTTGCCTGCCCCATACCCAGCTCTCCAGAATTGATTTGGCCCTATATACAGGTGCAGGAGTTTCTTCTTCATCTTTTTTCTCTTTGTCATTCAGATCTTCTTTCTTTGTTCCACTTTGTTCAACACTATCATCTGTAGAATTAAAAAATTTTAAATCTATAACTGCTTTTCAAAATGCCATACCATTTGTGAGTCTTTGCAAATGTCCCTCCCCGAAATGAAAAGTTACATACAACACATATCATTAACTGAATGTTTGACAACTTAAAAAATAAAATATATCAATCATACCTGTAACAGATCCAATACAATTTTAATAAAGAAACCAATATATCAAATTATTTAAAGCATGGCTTCCAAAATGATATTCCATCAACTTCCTACTAGATTTCACAACTGAGAAACTTAGTCTTTGATAGTTACCTACTTCAATTTCACACCAATTGCTTTTATCCAAGGAGTCCCAATGCTTTGTGTATCCATGGGAAAAGGGAGGGTACAGAACAGGAGTTCGATTCAAAAATCTTTTAACTCTTTACAATGCCCTACTCCATAGCCAAGTGAGAACCACTGCTATGCAGGGGCACTGTCACTTATGGCATAATTCAAGAGCACTGGGACACAAAGGAAAAGCTGAGAAAAATGACTTTAGGCCACCAACAATGTAAAGTTTCAGTCAAAAACAACTGTCATAAAACTCCTTACATAATAAGCAAAGAGAAGAGAGAACTAACCTTAATTTTGAAGTGTAAATGCATCCTACCACAGAAGGCTGTTACTAAATAACTGTCTAAACCACGCAATCAGAAAAATGTAGCTAAATCTGTGAAAGACATTATATCCCATCCAGATTACAAATAATGAGTATCTAAGAATCTCTAAGGAAATAGCTCCTCTGTTTACAACACTTCTGACACCAAATGTATGGACTTTTGCATCAAGCAATTCTCCAGTTCTCTGCAACACCTATGTGTCCAACAATGCAATTCAATTCTGAAATTACCTAGAACTGGCACAGACCTCACAGGTTAGTAGCAAGAGAGAAAGAGTACAATGCTGAAAAAAAATCCAAAGAACTAATGGCTGAAAACTTCCTAAGTTGAGCAATGACATTAACCTTGGCAGTTCGAAGAATCTGCGCAAAGCCCAAACAAGATAAATCCAAAGGAAGCCATGACTAGGCACATCGTAGTCAAATGCTAATCAGCCAGGACAAAACCTTTTGAAAGGTGCCACAGAAAGTGGATATAGAAGAATGTGGTGTGTGGCCTGAAATTAAGGCTGTTTGTACTGCCTGACATCAGTAAAATCAAGAAGGCTTTGAACAGCCTAACTGCAAGGTCTCCTCTGAGCTCTGCTCCCACAGATAAGGTCCCAAAGTCAAACAATCCTCCTCATCACGGAGACTGGATAGCATCCTGCTCATCCATGCCAGCCCAGAGTAATTCAAACAAGCCAATCACAACTTCCCACAGGAACCAAGGTCACCTCACTCTCCAGTTAGTAAAAAAGTTACCTCTCACAGCCCCTGGTGGTTACCAGGCATAGCCTCCGTGTGGCATGTGGTGTCCCCCCACCCGGGTTGTGAGCATCTGTGACTGCTATTTCATCTGTCCAGTGCTAGCGTCCTGTGTTCAGCCAGCCCATATTCCTAGGGCAGAAATCTTCTAGGGTTATAAACAGAACAGAGCTTTCCTTGGCTATTTTACTGGTTCTATGATACAGCTTTTTCTGTGCAAAAAATCTGAACAGAAACTGCACAGAGGATGCAAACTAAATCACAATGAAATCGCACTAGACTTGTTAGAATGACCCAACTAAAAAAACACTGGTAACACCAAGTGCTGACAAAGGCACAGTACAACAGAAACATCACAGATTGCCAGTGGGGATGCAAACTAAAATTGCCACTTTGGAAAACAGTTCAGCACATGACCCAGCTTTCACACTACTAGGTCTTTATCCAAGGGAAATGGAAAAAACTGTATTCACACAAAATCTGTACAGAAATGCTCATAGCAGGATTACAATTGTGAAAAAAAGACAGAAACGAGCACAAGGTCCTATAATAGTAGAATACATAAACACAACATAGTGCATTAAAATGATGGAATACTATTCAGCAACAGAAAGAACTGATAATACACAGAACACAAATAAATCTCAAAGATATAATTAGGAGTAAATGAAGGTGGTTTCAAACGTTACATAAAATATGGTTCCACTTACATGGCATTCTCAGAAAGAATACCCTATACTGATGGAGAACGTGTGATAAAAAGAAGCAGCACGAGGGAGCTTTTCGCGAGATGAAATTTCTCCATCCTGATGATGGTGACAGTTACATCAATCTATAGAGGTCAATATTTACTAAATTGGATACCACAAAGGAATAAATCTTATATGATAACTGTTTTAAATTTAAAAATGGACTGGGCCTGATGGCTCTCGCCTGTAATCCCATCACTTTGAGAGGCCAAGGCGGGCAGATCACCTGAGGTCAGGAGTCTGAGACCAGCATGACCAACATGGAGAAACCCCATCTCGACCAAAAATACAAAATTAGCCAGGCATTGTGGTGCAGGCCTGTAATCCCAGCTACGGGGGAGGCTGAGGCAGAAGAATCACTTGAACCTGGGAGCTGGAGGTTGCAGTGAGCCGATCACCAAGTGACACTTTATCAAAGAGAGAGAGAGAGAAAGCGGGGAAGGAGGGAGGGAGGGAAGAAAAAAAGGAAGGGGACA